GACGATGTTGCTGGCGACTGTGAAAGTACTGTAGACAATGATGATGTTGCCGGCGACTGTGAAAGTACTACTGTAGACACTGATGATGTTGCCGGCGACTGTGAAAGTACTGTAGACAATGATGATGATGTTGCCGGCGACTGTGAAAGTAGAACTGTAGACACTGATGATGTTGCCGGCGATTGTGAAAGTACTACTGTAGACAATGATGATGATGTTGCCGGCGACTGTGAAAGTACTACTTTAGACAATGATGATCTTGATGTTGCCGGCGACTGTGAAAGTACCACTGTAGACAATGATGACGATGATGTTGCCGGCGACTGTGAAAGTACTACTGTAGACAATGATGATGATTTTGCCGGCGACTCTGAAAGTACCACTGTAGACAATGATGATGATGTTGCCGGCGACTGTGAAAGTACTATTGTAGACAATGATGATGATGTTGCCGGCGACTGTGAAAGTACTACTGTAGACAATGATGATGATGTTGCCGGCGACTGTGAAAGTACCACTGTAGACAATGATGATGATGTTGCCGGCGACTGTGAAAGTACTACTGTAGACAATGATGATGATGCCGGCGACTGTGAAAGTACTATTGTAGACAATGATGATGATGTTGCCGGCGACTGTGAAAGTACCACTGTAGACAATGATGATGATGATGTTGCCGGCGACTGTGAAAGTACTATGTAGACAATGATGATGATGTTGCCGGCGACTGTCAAAGTACTACTGTAGACAATGATGATGATGACGATGATGTTGCCGGCGACTGTGAAAGTACCACTGTAGACAATGATGATGATGTTGCCGGCGACTGTGAAATTACTACTGTAGACAATGATGATGATGATGTTGCCGGCGACTGTGAAAGTACCACTGTAGACAATGATGATGTTGTTGCCAGCGACTGTGAAAGTACTACTGTAGACAATGATGATGATGTTGCCGGCGACTGTGAAAGTACCACTGTAGACAATGATGATGATGTTGCCGGCGACTGTGAAAGTACTACTGTAGACAATGATGATGATGATGATGTTGCCGGCGACTGTGAAAGTAGTACTGTAGACAATGATGATGATGTTGCCGGCGACTGTGAAAGTACCACTGTAGATAATGATCATGTTGCCGGCGACTGTGAAAGTACTACTGTAGACAATGATGATGATGATGTTGCCGGCGACTGTGAAAGTAGTACTGTAGACAATGATGATGATGTTGCCGGCGACTGTGAAAGTACTGTAGACAATGATGATGTTGCCGGCGACTGTGAAAGTACTACTGTAGACACTGATGATGTTGCCGGCGACTGTGAAAGTACTGTAGACAATGATGATGATGTTGCCGGCGACTGTGAAAGTAGAACTGTAGACACTGATGATGTTGCCGGCGACTGTGAAAGTACTACTTTAGACAATGATGATGATGTTGCCGGCGACTGTGAACGTACCACTGTAGACAATGATGATCATGTTGCCGGCGACTGTGAAAGTACTACTGTAGACAATGATGATGATGTTGCCGGCGACTGTGAAAGTACCACTGTAGACAATGATGATGTTGTTGCCAGCGACTGTGAAAGTACTACTGTAGACAATGATGATGTTGCCGGCGGCAGTGAAAGTACCACTGTAGACGATGATGATGTTGCCGGCGACTGTGAAAGTACTACTCTAGACAATGATGATGATGATGTTGCCGGCGACTGTGAAAGTACCACTGTAGACAATGATGATCATGTTGCCGGCGACTGTGAAAGTACTGTAGACAATGATGATGATGATGTTGCCGGCGACTGTGAAAGTACTACTGTAGACAATGATGATGATGATGTTGCCGGCGACTGTGAAAGTAGTACTGTAGACAATGATGATGATGTTGCCGGCGACTGTGAAAGTACCACTGTAGACAATGATGATGATTTTGCCGGCGACTCTGAAAGTACCACTGTAGACAATGATGATGATGTTGCCGGCGACTGTGAAAGTACTATTGTAGACAATGATGATGATGTTGCCGGCGACTGTGAAAGTACTACTGTAGACAATGATGATGATGTTGCCGGCGACTGTGAAAGTACCACTGTAGACAATGATGATGATGTTGCCGGCGACTGTGAAAGTACTACTGTAGACAATGATGATGATGCCGGCGACTGTGAAAGTACTATTGTAGACAATGATGATGATGTTGCCGGCGACTGTGAAAGTACCACTGTAGACAATGATGATGATGATGATGTTGCCGGCGACTGTTAAAGTAGTACTGTAGACAATGATGATGATCATGTTGCCGGCGACTGTGAAAGTACTACTGTAGACGATGGTGATGTTGCCAGCGACTGTGAAAGTACTACTGTAGACGATGATGATGTTGCCGGCGACTGTGAAAGTACCACTGTAGACAATGATGATGATGATGTTGCCGGCGACTGTGAAAGTACCACTGTAGACAATGATGATGATGTTGCCGGCGACTGTGAAAGTACTACTGTAGACAATGATGATGATGATGTTGCCGGCGACTGTGAAAGTACCACTGTAGACAATGATGATCATGTTGCCGGCGACTGTGAAAGTACTGTAGACAATGATGATGATGATGTTGCCGGCGACTGTGAAAGTACTGTAGACAATGATGATGATGATGTTGCCGGCGACTGTGAAAGTAGTACTGTAGACAATGATGATGATGTTGCCGGCGACTGTGAAAGTACCACTGTAGACAATGATGATCATGTTGCCGGCGACTGTGAAAGTACTACTGTAGACAATGATGATGATGTTACCGGCGACTGTGAAAGTACTGTAGACAATGATGATGTTGCCGGCGACTGTGAAAGTACTACTGTAGACAATGATGATGTTGCCGGCGACTGTGAAAGTACTGTAGACAATGATGATGATGTTGCCGGCGACTGTGAAAGTAGAACTGTAGACACTGATGATGTTGCCGGCGACTGTGAAAGTACTACTGTAGACAATGATAATGATGTTGATGATGTTGCCGGCGACTGTGAAAGTACTACTTTAGACAATGATGATGATGATGATGTTGCCGGCGACTGTGAAAGTACCACTGTAGACAATGATGACGATGATGTTGCCGGCGACTGTGAAAGTACTACTGTAGACAATGATGATGATGTTGCCGGCGACTGTGAAAGTACTACTGTAGACAATGATGATGATGTTGCCGGCGACTGTGAAAGTACTACTGTAGGCAATGATGATGATGTTGCCGGCGACTGTGAAAGTACTATTGTAGACAATGATGATGATGTTGCCGGCGACTGTGAAAGTACTACTGTAGACAATGATGATGATGTTGCAGGCGACTGTTAAAGTACTACTGTAGACAATGATGATGATGATGTTGCCGGCGACTGTGAAAGTACTACTGTAGACAGTGATGATGAAGATGTTGCCGGCGACTGTGAAAGTACTACTGTAGACAATGATGATGATGACGATGATGTTGCCGGCGACTGTGAAAGTACTACTGTAGACAATGATGATGATTTTGCCGGCGACTCTGAAAGTACTTCTGTAGACAATGATGATGATGTTGCCGGCGACTGTGAAAGTACTATTGTAGACAATGATGATGATGTTGCCGGTGACTGTGAAAGTACCACTGTAGACAATGATGATGATGTTGCCGGCGACTGTGAAAGTACCACTGTAGACAATGATGATGTTGCCTGCGACTGTGAAAGTACTACTGAAGACAATGATGATGATGATGTTGCCGGCGACTGTGAAAGTACTACTGTAGACAATGATGATGATGACGATGATGTTGCCGGCGACTGTGAAAGTACTACTGTAGACAATGATGATGATGTTGCCTGCGACTGTGAAAGTACTATTGTAGACAATGATGATGATGTTGCCGTCGACTGTGAAAGTACTACTGTAGACAATGATGATGATGACGATGATGTTGCCGGCGACTGTGAAAGTACTATTGTAGACAATGATGATGATGATGATGTTGCCGGCGACTGTGAAAATAGTACTGTAGACAATGATGATCATGATGTTGCCGGCGACTGTGAAAGTACTATCGTAGACAATGATGTTGATGTTGCCGGCGACTGTGAAAGTAGCACTGTAGACAATGATGATGATGTTGCCGGCGACTGTGAAAGTACTGTAGACAATGATGATGATGTTGCCGGCGACTGTGAAAGTACTGTAGACAATGATGATGTTGTTGCCGGCGACTGTGAAAGTACTATTGTAGACAATGATTATAATGATGAACATCATGGTGACGACGGCGGTGATGCTGATACATCGTCCGCTGCGGCTGATGATACTACTGCTGATGATAACTACTGCTGCTGCTACTGATGATGATACTGCTGATGATACTACTGCTGATGATGATACTACTGCTGATGATGATACTACTGCTGCTGCTAATACTGCTGATGATGATACTACTGCTGCTGATGATAGTACTGCTGCTGATGATACTACTGCTGCTGCTACTGATGATGATACTACTGCTGCTGATGATAGCACTGCTGCTGATGATACTAATGCTGCTACTGATAATACTGCTGCTGATGATGATGATACTACTGCTGCTACTGATGATACTACTGCTGCTGATGATGATACTACTGCTGCTGATGATTATACTGCTGCTGTTGATGATACTACTGCTGCTGATGATACTACTGCTGCTGATGATACTACTGCTGCTGATGATGATACTACTGCTGATGCTGATGATGATACTACTGCTGATGATACTGCTGCTGCTGATACTACTGCTGCTGATACTACTGCTGCTGCTGATGATACGACTGCTGCTGCTGCTGATACTAATGCTGCTGATGATGATACTACTGCTGCTGATTCTACTGCTGATGATACTACTGCTGCTGATGATACTACTGCTGCTGATGATACTACTACTGCTGATACTACTGCTGCTGATGATGATACTACTGCTGCTGATGATGAACAAGGCACCTCCTTTTGCTTGGGATCCTGCGGGTAGACATCTGGGGGTCCCAAACGAGGCCTCTTGAGGGGCCTATTCTCGTAGCTGAGCAGCGCCAGGGCGGCCATTTGCGTCTCCTCTCCTCTCCACGGCCGCTCGCTCGACGAGGAGGAGAGCCCTCCACCTCTTCTCTAGTCCTCTTTCTTCTCGTCGCTACGTCTCACCCACCCTCCTCCTATCTCCTCCGCCTCCGCTCCGTTCACCTCCTCCCGCAACCCGGCGTCACTCAACCCAGGAGCTTTAACACTTCCGGGGGAAGAGTAGAGGAAGAGGTGGGAATCGATTCGCAAAGGAATCGTCGGGAATCGAGTCGCCTATTTAATTAAACCACCCCCTCCCCGCTCTCCGTGCGGTGGTCGCGACGCGGCTTTGTGGAATCGAAATTGATTTTTATTGAGCAACAGGGAACAGTGGATCGAATCGGTATGCTTTCCCGTGACGTCACCACAACACTGGTTAACATTTAAACATGTGGTGACCCATAAAAGCTTGCAACCCAATTGTGCAGTGTACTTTATTTAACCACGGTTTAATCAAATACTTCATTTGAGATACAGTGTATTTGAACAATTACTTGATTTAACCATGTGAGGGTCCATTGAGATTGAATCAAATACTTCCTTTGAGATATTTGAACAAATACTGTATTTAACCATATGAGTGTCCATTGAGATTTAATCAAATGCTTAATGAGATATTTGAACAAATACTTTATTTAACCACGCACGGGGGCCATTGACATTTTTGATCAAATACTTCCTTTGAGATATTTAAACAAATACTTTATTTAACCATGTGAGGGTCCATTGAGATTTAATCAAATACTTCCTTTGAGATATTTAAAAAATACTTTATTTAACCATGTGAGGGTCCATTTAGATTTCATCAAATACTTCCTTTGATATATTTAAACAAATACTTTATTTAACCATATGAGTGTCCATTGAGATTTAATCAAATACTTAATGAGATATTTGAACAAATACTTTATTTAACCACGCGAGGGTCCATTGACATTTAATAAAATGCTTTGAGATATTTGAACAAATACTTTATTTAACCACGTGAGGGCCCACTAACGTGTAATCAAATACTGCACTTTAGTTGGGATATGAACGCATACTTTATTTAACCATGTGAAGACATCACACCAAAACACAGGGGCCGTTCATAAATGACGTCACGCACCTGGGGGGGGGGGTCAGACATTTGTGACGATGCGTGACGAGGGGGGGGGGGGGTGAGAAATGTGACGTCACATCAAAATGCGCAACTTTAAATAAATATAGACAACACGTTCTATATTAAAACACATCAGAGTGCAGCGCCACATTAAATACGCACTACAATGACAATAGTTTAAAGCGATTTGAAGCTTGTTTTATTTTTTGGGAGGGGGGGGGGGGCAGAGCTTTGTGACGTCATATTTGAGGGGGGAGGTCTGACTACTTGTGACATTCCAGATTTGAAGCATTCGTGACTGCAAGGATCCATACTCTTTGGTTCTATTCGGTAAAGTCACGTAGGTAAAAAAATAAAACAACAAAAATCACGACGTTTCGGCCACAACACAAGCGGCCTTCATCAGGTGAAGGGACCAGACTGTCTCGAAGACTGCGCTGGAGTGAAACAGAGCCAAGCTCAGACTACGACCTTTAAGCCGTGTGAGAGGGATTAAGGTGCCTTTGACAAAGGAATTAGCATAAAAAATTAGCATTGTGAATAAGTCGATTCGTTCACGCCTTCCAACGGACACATCACTCTCACGGCGCTCGTTGTTGACGCAGAGTCGAGAATCTTAAAATAAATCATTCATTTCAACAATTGCAACAGGGGATGGGGGCTGAGAGGTCTGAAATTTGCGGCCCTCTGCAGTTGGATTCAGCTATGGCTCTAGAACTTGGTGTTACATGTTATTTACGTAGTTGATTGTAAAAATTCGGTCACAGTCCTTGTGATCACTGTTACTTTATAATTATGGCTTTATTTTTTGGTGATTTGGAAAACGTTTTTTTGGTTTGGACATGTTTGTTTTGTTGTAGTACGGAGTTAGACTGATGGCCTTAATCTAAGTTTTTGTGGTTGTTGTTGTTTGACTTGCATCCCACTGGGGTGTGCGAGATGCCCTTTCTGGGGCGAGACATGGGCAGATTTTTTTATTTGAAGGTAAATAATCGAAAACATAAATGAAGCACGGACACGTAGGTACACCATACTTTTGATTGAAAGCTTTCGTGACTGCAGTAATTCATATTCTTAGCTCTTTCGGTAAAGTCACGTTGAAGGGAAGCAATAAAATAATAAAATATATAAAATAATAAAAATAAAAAAACAAATTCTCACGACGTTTCGACCATAACACAAACGGTCGTCATCAGGTGTGTCGGTTTGCATTAATTCATTTATTTTTAAACGGTGTATTTTATTATAAAAAAACGTCAGCGCCACTCGCAGCGATTTGGCTGTTTATTTAGAAGGACTAGTCCATCTATGTTCTGAAAAGAGTAGGGGGGAGACGAAAAATTAATGTATGCTGTCTGAAAGCCACCGTAAGCGTGAACAATCAATTAAGACATGAAATGGTTTATCAAATCTTTCCAATGATTGCTAAGCCAGAATCCATCTTCTCGGTTGAAATTGTCTCTGTGCTTGTATATGTGGATAGCCTCATGAAAAATAAATAAATTAATGCAAACCGACACACCTGATGACGACCGTTTATGTTATGGTCGAAACGTCGTGAGCATTTTTATTGTTTTATATATCTTTTATTATTTTATTGTTTGCCTTCAACGTGACTTTACCGAAAGAGCTAAGAATATACACCGTACTTTGTTTCATCACAACTTTGTATTTAACAACGTTATAATTTGTTGTAACGATTGTTGATAACTAAAGGGGTGCAAGGCTTCAGTAAAGGTTTAGAACCGCTGCCCCAACGGGAGCGTATCGTGGTTAAGGAGAGTTCATTTACTAACAAGGCGGGGGAATAGGGGTAAGGGGCCGTCCATAAATGACGTCACGCGATTTTGGACGATTTTTGACCCCCCCTCATCGTCACACGGCGTCACAAAAAGTCAACCCCCCTCAAATATGACGTCACAAAGCTCTACCCCCCCCAAATAAAACATGCTTCAAATAGCTTTAAACTATTGTCATTGTGGTGCGTAGTTAATGTGGCGCTGCACTCTGATGTTTATTAAAAAGTATACTTAATTAAGCAGAACGTGTTGTCTATATTTATCTAAAGTTGCGCATTTTGATGTGACGTCACATTTCTCAACCCCCCCCCCCCCTCGTCACACTTCGTCACAAATGTCTGACCCCCCCCCCCCCCCCCAGGTGCGTGACGCCATTATGGACGGCCCCTTAACAGACTGTAGGGGCAAGTGCTGTTAGCGAGCACCTATGAAGGCCGGAACGGCACACGAGGGGGTGGGTGGCCAGCACCACGCCCGGCCGCCTTTGTCTCCCGAGTGACGATGCTGTACACACCGCACCATGTACCTATTTGAGGCTGAGTCGACCTAGGGGAGGCCCATGACCGGATCAGATAATCGGTGTTGGCCGTGAGCGGGAATCGAACTCGGGTCGCCAGGTATCGTAGCGCAGCGTAGCGCTACCGCTCCCGACAAAAAAGGAGACCAAGCGGACCCACACCCAGCGACCCCCTCTCTTCCAGGATCAGCCAACAATATAACATATACCTGAGGTGCAAATTGAACCTTCATAGTCCAACACCCAACTTCCTCGCGCCATTCCTTTTGCCTTCCTTATACAGTGAGGGGAAAAAGTATTTGATCCCCTGCTGATTTTGTACGTTTGCCCACTGACGAAGAAATGATCAGTCTGTAATTTTAATGGTAGGTTTTTTTGAACGGTGAGAGACAGAATAACAACAACAAAATCCAGAAAAAAACGCATGTCAAAAATGTTATCAATTGATTTGCATTTTAATGAGGGGAATAAGTATTTGACCCCTCTGCAAAACATGACTTAGTACTTGGTGGCAAAACCCTTGTTGGCAATCACAGATGTCAGACGTTTCTTGTAGTTGGCCACCAGGTTTGCACACATCTCAGGAGGGATTTTGTCCCACTCCTCTTTGCAGATCTTCTCCAAGTCATTAAGGTTTCGAGGCTGACGTTTGGCAACTCGAACCTTCAGCTCTCTCCACAGATTTTCTATGGGGATTAAGGTCTGGAGACTGGCTAGGCCACTCCAGGACCTTAATGTGCTTCTTCTTGAGCCACTCCTTTGTTTCCTGGGTCGTGTGTTTTGGGTTATTGTCGTGCTGAAATACCCATCCACGACCCATTTTCAATGCCCTGGCTGAGGGAAGGAGGTTCTCGCCCAAGATTTGACGGTACATGGCCCTGTCCATAGTCCCTTTGATGCGGTGAAGTTGTCCTGTCCCCTTAGCAGAAAAAACACCCCCAAAGCATAAAGTTTCCACCTCCATGTTTGACGGTGGGGATGGTGTTTTTGGGGTCATAGGCAGCATTCCTCCTCCTCCAAACACGGCGAGTTGAGTTGATGACAAAGAGCTCTATTTTGGTCTCATCTGACCACAACACTTTCACCCAGTTGTCCTCTGAATCATTCAGATGTTCATTGGCAAACTTCAGACGGGCATGTATATGTGCTTTCTTGAGCAGGAGGACCTTGCGGGTGCTGCAGGATTTCAATCCTTCACGGCGTAGTGTGTTACCAATTGTTTTTTTGGTGTACTATGGTCCCAGCTGCCTTGAGATCATTGACAAGATCCTCCCGTGTAGTTCTGGGCTGATTCCTCACCGTTCTCATGATCATTGCAACTCCACGAGGTGATATCTTGCATGGAGCCCCAGGCCGAGGGAGATTGACAGTTATTTTGTGTTTCTTCCATTTGCGAATAATCGCACCAACTGTTGTCACCTTCTCACCAAGCTGCTTGGCAATGGTCTTGTAGCCCATTCCAGCCTTGTGTAGGTCTACAATCTTGTCCCTGACATCCTTGGAGAGCTCTTTGGTCTTGGCCATGGTGGAGAGTTTGGAATCTGATTAATTGCTTCTGTGGACAGGTGTCTTTTATACAGGTAACAAGCTGAGATTAGGAGCACTCCCTTTAAGAGTGTGCTCCTAATCTCAGCTCGTTACCTGTATAAAAGACACCTGGGAGCCAGAAACATTTCTGATTGAAGAGGGGTACAATACTTATTTCCCTCATTAAAATGCAAATCAATTTATAACATTTTTGACATGCGTTTTTCTGGATTTCGCTGTTGTTATTCC